TGTCACGCGGGCCCCACCAGGGGGGCGGACACGCAAAATTTGCGTGTCGCGCGCCGGGTGTCCCGGGAGCCGGGGTCGGGACACGCAGAATTTGCGTGTCACGCGGGCCCCAGCAGGAGGGGGCCAAGGGCCGGGAAACCGTGGCGCTCCCGGAGGTCCAGAGGCCGGGGGCCAGGGCCAGGACACGCAGAATCCGCGTGTCACCTCGAGAACGCCGCGCAGGGGCACGCAGAATCTGCGTGTCACACGGGCTCTGGCGGCGGGGGCGAAGGCGACACATTGGTCCGTGAAAACGCAACGCCGCAGGGTCCATTGCGTGCCTGCGCCCGAACGACGCCCCCAGGAACACCCAGAAAAAAACTGCGGGAAAGAAAATTTCAACAACATCAGTGGTCTAGCAGAAGAATACATCGTTGCCATCGATGCGACCCGGGTTCGATCCCCGGCTAATGCACAAGGCGCTGCTCCAGAAGACGTGACACGCAAATCCTGCGCGCCGTGTAAACGTGACACGCAAATCCTGCGTGTCATACGGAATCCATCATCGAGGGGAGCCCAGGGCGTTGAGGAGGTCAGCCATCCTTGGCCTGAGGCCGCGAGGCCCTGGATTCCTGCGCACCCCGCGGAGCGGGAGGGGCGATCCCGTTCCAAGACGCGAGGGGCCGTTGTGGCCCCCAGTGCCCCCTTGGCCCGAGCTTCGAGGAAAGGCCATCCCATCGGTGCGAGACCCTGGATTCCTGTCGGCAAGGTCGGAGATGAGGCCGACGGCTTTTCTGGGGAGGCTCTTGGGAGGAGTCAGCCGACCACCTGTGCTGGTCCGACCAGAGCCGAGGCCCCCGTGCAGGTCCCCTGGTGGCCCCCCGTGTCTAGTGGGCAGAGGCCTGCGGCTTCAACGGAGTCGAAGGGCCCGTCTCCGCAGCCAGGAGGGGGCAGAAACAGTATTCAGCCGCAGCTGTTTGTGCTCAGAGTTGCCTAGCTGCCAGCTCCGGCTCGCCCATGCCAGGCATGCCTGCTCGCGCACCGTACCAGGCCGCCCTCGCCCTCCAACAGCGGATCGCATGCATCGCTGAGGCGGAGTCTCGTTGGGACATCCACAAGCATGCCGATGGTAGTTGGATGGAGTTGCCCAAAGCCGCGCCGCTGGGCCCCGTGTATTTCGCTTCGGCGAAGCAGCACAAGCACCTCTCCCACGTGGGCGACTGGGCGAGGGAGCGGGCAACTGAGGGTTGGATGGCCTTCGAGGCTGACCCGAGGGCGATCCGGCTGCACGGGCAGAGGCGCCTGCAGAGTCGGCGCCGCTTGCCGCCGTGGCGGTTGGACGAGCGCTTCGGGAAGAGCAGACGGCCAGCCCAGGCGCAAGTGATGCCGCCTGTGGCACCGCCGCTGCAACCGCCGACGAAGCGGCGCCGGATCCGTTCCCTCCGCGAGCGAGGGGCAGCGGAGGCGGCGGCGGCTGCGGCAGGGCCTGGCGGCCCCGCGCCCCCTCTCGCCGCCCCCGCGGGCGCGGCCGCGCCCCCGCTTCCGGGAGCGGAAGGTGGATTCGCTGGCAGAGCAGAGCTTGCAGCGCCAAGCCCCGAAGCGCTCGCAGCTCCAGTCGCCCCCCCCGCGGCGGCCGCAGGTCCAGCCCGCGGGCTGCGCACGGGCACGAAGCTCCCACTGCTTCAGAAGTTCCCCGACTTGGAGACCGCGCTTCGCAGGTGGCGCGAGCTGCGCGAGGCGGAGCGGAGCGAGGATAAGAAGGTGTCCTTCCACGACGCGCTCTTCAACGCAGAGCTGCGGACGACTCGAGGGGCTTTCGAGCAGGCTGGGATGCACGGGGGGCTACCGGAGAAAGTTTCAGCGGGGTGGTTTGTGGGGCACGAGAAGAGGCTGGGCATCCTCGACTCGGCCGTGCAGCCCGCAGAGGTCCGGCGCCCTGAGCGCGCGGCGATCGAGCAGTTCTGGGCGAGCTGCGCGCAGGGCAGGAGGAGCACGGCATTGCCAGAGATCTGGTTTTCATTTCGATGAAGTTCCAGATTACTACACGGCTGTCCGAAGCGAGCCCAGAGCACTGCCAAAGTGCGCAGCAAAGCCACAGGCCGCAGGTGCAAGAGGACTTCCAGGGGTCGCGCGTCGTTCACGGCGTGTCCCCCGCGGAGCGGGGCCGCGCGCTGCTGCTTGCGAAGTCGTGCAGGCCGCCGTTGCTGAAGGCCATCCAGGAAGATTTCGGGGGGCATGTCGAGGTGGTCGCCCGCAGGGGTTCAGCAATGACTGGCGCCACCCACGCCCGCGTGGTGCCGGAGAAGATGTTCGGCCCCCTCGCTGATCACATCGGGCACGTCCGGGCCCCCCACCCCCCCAGAACAAGATCCTGTGCACGGAGGGCCCGGCCCCCGCGCACACGGGGGACAAGTGCAGGGCGTCTGGCGAGGGCGAACTCCAGCGCAAGAGGCGGGATGCGCTGGCCAAGTTCAACTTGGTCCGCGAGCTTCTGCCGGAGAACAGCACGCCCGACCTGTGCGAGGTTGGTCAGATTGCGAAGATCTTCAAGCAAGAGAAAAACAACGTCCTCCACGAGATCTTGGGAGATGGCCCTGATATCAGACTGCGTCCTTCGCGGTCTCCGAATGCGGCCGCGCACAAGGCGCCAGGGGGGGCCCTCGTCACTGACTGCGGGGGCATGCGCAGCCCAACTCTCTACCACATCGCGGGGGCTTGGGCGGCGGACCGAAGGGCAGGCCGCCGGCGTGCTCCGCGAGCACCCGAGCGCGGCCCTGGCGGGCGTGAATGATTTGCGCCGCAGGCAGCAGGCCTTGCGCAAGCAGAACGTTTGGCTGCGCGCTGATCAGGATTCCAGCGGCGGGCCCGCCGCGGAAGCTCCTGACGCTCCGGCGCCATCCGCCGAGGAGCTCGCTGTCTTGCGCCGAAATCAGCAGGAGCTCGCTCGCATCCGGGGGAAGCTGCTCGACGGCATCTTGGCGCAGCTCGCCGGCGGGGCCGAAGATGCCGACGGCGCAAGCCTCTCCCGCGCTCTCGACGCGAGCCGCGCGACGCCCTTCGAGTCCACCCTTGCCAACGTTGCCGAGTTGCCTGCGCAGGATAACGTCGGGGAGAGCAAATATTTTTTGGCGGTTGGGGCCCGCGTCTGCGCCGGTCTCGTCGCGCCCCTGGCGAGCGAGGCGGCGGCCGCAACGGGCGCGGCGGCAGCTGCTGCGCCCCACTAAGCCGCTGCCGGCTTTCAGGTCCCCCGAGCATCAGAAACTACAAGATCTTGACGTCTTACAATTATGGGAGGTAAACCTCTAATAATTGTCTTGCCTCCAATATATGGAGTCGGCAACAATTATTGTAGTTCCCCATATCTTCCCACATGTGTTAGAATATATACATATATACGCATACATACATATATGTATGTATACATATCTGTACACATTCTTAACACATCTGGGCTGGAATGGATTGAACCAAAATGGCGACTGCACGAAGCTTGAGCCAAAATGGCGACTGCACGAGGACGAGGAGGAGAAAGGAGAGGGAGAGGAAGGGAGGAGCGGCAGCAGGGGGAAGAAGAGCAGAGCAGCAGCGGGGCGACGACGACGACGACGACGATCTTCAAGTTTGGAAAAATGATGATGATGATGATGGTGGTGATGATGATGATGATGATGATGATGATGACGATGATGACGACGACGAAGACGACGACGATGACGAAGACGACGACGACGACGGGGACCAGTGGACTCCCCGAGAGGCCCCAGGAGCCCCGTGCGACGACGACCACGACGACGACGACGACGAAGGTTCTTATCATAGTTTATCTCTCCCTCACTGCCCCTCCATTCCTCCCTCCTGCATCCCTTTCCCCTTTTCCTCCTTGGCGCCGCCCTCGACAGTTAGCTGGCGCCTCCCTCGACAGCCCAGCCTGCCAAGAGCTTAGCCATCTCCCAGCTATCCTCAGGGGCGTGCCTGAAGGACATCGTGACTCCACCCTTGTTGTCGATCTTCTGCTCGACGGTCGGGGGCACGTGATCCACGTGAGAAATGTAGAAAGCCTGGACATTCAAGATGACTGATATCTTGGAGATCTCATCCTCACGGCTCAAGGTGTACGACTTCCTGACCCCCAGGTCTGGACCAGGGAAGTGGGCGTCGGGCGGTAGCTTCATCATCACGTCGACGAGCGAAGATGGCTCAGCCGCGGCCTTGGCTGCAGCTTTGGGATTGGCCTTAGCTTTGCCCTTGGCCTTCCCTTTGGCCGTAGCCTTGGCCTTCCCTTTGGCCTTGCCCTTGGCCTTCCCCTTGTCCTTGCCCTTGTGCGTGCCGTCCTTGAGCTCGGCCTCGTCCTCCTCCGCCTCGTCGTCGCCGTCGCCAGGGTGGCCGCGCTTCAACTTCGGAGCAGTGGCGGGGACCGCTGGGCGCAAAATGAAGTGCCCATGGGGCTCCAAATGAATCCCCATGATCTCCGTGCTGTAGGTCTCGTCGGTGTTGGGGAAATGGGCAACGATGAAGCCGATCTCGTCCACCGTGTACTTGTCGGCGATGACGCACCTCCCGTCGCTCATGAGCATTTTCGCGTAGCAGACGTGGTCTCCCATCACGATGCTCGAAGTGATAGGAACTGGGTCGTCGTCCACCTCGAGGTCGTTCTCGTCGTTGTCGTGCTCGTTGCTTTGGAAACTCAAGAAGGGATTATCGCACTTGGCCCCCGGTTGCTTCGAGGGCGACTGGACGAACTTCTCATAGACTGCAACGAGGCCTGCAGGGTGTTCTCGGGCCTGGTCTGCGGGTCTTGTCAACTTACTCCATTGCTTACGCTTGATCCTCACGTGGGCCAACATGACCCTGATGTTGTAGGCAACCTCGGTGATGCACCTCCTCTCGCTAATCATGCGCGTCATGGCAAGGCCCTTGAATCCAGCATTGAAGTCATCCTCCTCGGACAACGATTTCAGCGCAGACTCGACGGCGAGCTGCGCAAAGAAGCCCCCGCGGACATCGAGAGATATGAGAGGTCCGAGTATGTTGGCAGACCACTTCTCCAACGTATCCGTATCGATGCCTATCTTCATGTCGTCGGACGCGTAGCCGAGACCTCCCTGGCACAACGCTGCCTTGAAACCATCAGCAATCACTGTCTTGATTGCCTCGCTCGTGCTCTGGCCATCCGGAGCCGTCCACACTGAGGTGCGCATAGTTCGAACCCCGCTATGCACCCCGATCGAGCCCAAATGGCTATGAGTGCAGAGGGGGCGGGGGAGGACAAGAGCGCGTTCAGGCTAGTAAGTCGGACGGCCTCGACAGCAATGAACGGTCGGTGGTACATCGGCTTTGGCCTAAAGACTGAGCGGCAGCGACGCTCTCTCTCACCACATGGAATACAACACACGCAGCAGGGTCAGGGTGCAATCTATGCCGTGCAATGGCGCAATCTATGCGAGAGGGTCCCGACCCCCCCTCCCGACTTTAAACAACATGGATTCCCGATTTCGTTTCCCGATTTTTTCTTTCAAACTCGGGCCCAACGCTTCCGCTCGACAACCATGTATGATTAGAGGTTGCTATGTGGTGCAATCTGCGTGCGTGGTGCAATCTATGGGGTGATGTGTGATGTGTGTTGTTGGTGTGTGCTGTGTGATTTTCGTTGCTAGCTGGCGTGTGTTGTGTGATGTTTGTTGCTGGTGTGTGCTGTGTGGTTTTTATTGTTGTATTACGGTTCTGCGGGGGATCAGGGGTGCGTGTTTTTTCACAGCGCGTTCAGATTCCCCAGTGAAAACGGGCTGATCTCGAGTGATCACGGTCGACACTCATGAGCGTGGCACGCTTGTGGCTAGCAGGGCACGTAACACATAAGTCTTACACCCTGGATCGTCCCTCGACCGATGTATTCGGCCTCACTTCGAGCTGCTCTTGGCGAACTCCTGGAGGCACTCCTTGGAGTACAGCTTGTGCGCGGCCATGAGCTTAGCCGCCTGAGCCTCGTACTCGTTGGCTTTCACGTTCAGGGCATCTGCGTCGATGTCCGTGTCAGGCTTAGACTTCAGGGTGGCCACGAGCGTAGATGCCTTTGCCCAGCTGTCATGAAGCTTGCCGTTCTGGTTCTTGACCTTGGTCGTCTCATCCTGCAAGAACTTGAGGGGCCCCGTCGTATCCCACTTCTTCTCGCGAAGCCTCTGCTCCACCAAGCAGACCTTGCCCAACTCAGAGTTGACCTTGTCGTGCGTGGTCTTCATGTGGGACACCGCCGCCATCAGGTTCTGCACGGCTTGCTGCTCCTTCGAGGGGGGCTCGGCGTTGCCAATCTGCTTCTTGGCGCTGCGCTTCGGTGGCTCGGAGAAGCCTGGGTTCCGCGAATCCTCCATGTGAGCTTTCACGTCCTTGTAGGTCTCAGCGCCCACGTCCGCCGTGATGTCCACCTCCGACCCGTTGACCAAGGACTTCGCATTCTTTGCCCAATCAGCATTCCACTTGTAGACGAACACGTTGGCATCGGCGAGGGCTTGGTTCTTGTGCAGCTTCTTCGGGAGGCTGGTGATCGCGATGCTCGCCAACTTCGGGCAGTTCAGCCAGTTCGGGCCAGCAAGCTGTGATTCAGTTAGCCAAATCTCAATCTCTTCCTCGGTCTTGGACGTGGTCCGTTGAGTCCAGTTGCGGCCGAGGCATCCGCCCTTCTCTGGGTCCAGCATGTAGTCAGCAAGCCACTCGCTGAGATCCGAGCGGTCGCGGATGTTCTTGTACTCCTGGAATTTCTCTGGGTTGGAGGTCTGGAGCGCGTTCCTCATGGCAGTGAACGCCTTCTGGCGCTTTCTAGAGTCTGCAGCGGCAACAGCTTCTGGCGAGATACCGTCGCCCTCCTTCTCGACCATCTCCTTGAACTCCGCGACAGCCTTGGGAAGATCGGTCGCCTTGCGCTTCGGCCCCATTGCCTCGCGAGTGCCCGGGGGTCGCACTGCACCGGAGGTTTCGAGGCCAGCTTGATCCAGAACCGGCTGCGGGGAAGTGGATGAAAGGGCGAGGAAGAATATCGTAGTCCACGGGGCCCGCACTGCCGGGGCTGCCGACGCCACCACCTGAATCCCATGATAAACATTATGATAAACATAGGCCGTTTTTCTATAATATAGATTCGCCCCGCCTGATATATTCGTAGTTTCTGAATGTTTATTATAGATTTTTCCCGTCGTATGTTTATTATAGCCGCCCGTGCCCCCTTCCTCCGTGCGCGCCTCAGGCCGCAGCTGACACCCGCCGAGGAATTGCCTACGATAGGAGACAGCCTGACGGGTCTCAAGCTCTCGAGATGGGGGATGGCCCCTTGCCCTCTAGAGACATCGACGACGACGACGACGACGACGACGACGACGGGAATCACTGGAATTCCGCAGAGGCCCCAGGAGCCCCGTGACGGGAATCACTGGAATTCCGCAGAGGCCCCAGGAGCCCCGTGCGACGACGACGACGACGTCGGGTTTCTAATCAAACAACCCCTCAGCGTTTGACAAGACTGCTTCAAGGTCAATCAGTGCATCTAATGCTTCACCCCTAAGCCCAATGAGCCCGATTTCTGCTACATCCTCATCGGGGGCGGCCTCGAGCTCGTCGTCGCGCCTTGCGAGAGGCACTGGATCTGGATTGGGGTCGTGCTCTGGGATCTCCTCCACCGAGTCGCTGGACACGGACATGGCAGCCTCCACGTAGTCGCAAGGGGGGTCCACTGGGCGCGCCACGTCGTGGTCGTCCCACACTGCACACACGATGCTTTGAATGTGAAATCTCATATCCACCAGTAGGAATGGCTGGCCATGTACTTGACAACGTTCTCCTGCCATGAGCCTTGCAGCCTCCGTGCACACGTTGTCGTCGAGCGTCAGGCCGCACTGCATGCACATCCACGCAGGCAGAAACTCAGCGCCGCGACGACTTGGGGCCCATCGCATCCTACGGTCTGCTTCGTCAGCTGCGAACTCCACGGGATATTGATCTGATTCTGACACAATCACAACTCTCGGACAGCATTAGGGTATGATGCGAGCCCAAGGTTGCTCTTGACTCCACTCGGGCGCTGCATCTCGTACTGGCTGTGGGACTGGTTCGGGAACCGCGGGGAATGTGTGTAGATTTGCCAGCACGTCGTTGTGGTTTGGCTCAGTCCTGCACAAAGGACACGGATCACACGCAATCTTCGAATTGAGGCACGACAAATGGAATTCATGCGTGCATGGCCACCGCCACGTGCTCTCTGAGAGAGGGCAGAAACATATGGCACAATTTGCTGTCATCTCGCATGGGCCAAAATGGCTACGGACGGTAATAAAACGAAGGAGTGTTCACCCTGAGCTCTCCCGAGGCCCGTCGGGTTCGCTCGACGGCGGCGCTTTGCCGAAGAGGTCCAAACATACGCCCAACCCCGAGGGTGTTATGCTACATGGGCCTTCGATGCAATTTCGATGGGTCTCTCTCGAACGGCGATGGCAGACTGCAAAAGATAAGTATTCGTGCTCTGTGACGGGCGGCGACGGGCGACTGCACAAGACGGGCGGCGACGGGCGACTGTGCGTAGCGCCTCGCCTGTTTGCAACGCCGCTGGCCATGGAACGGGGCGGAGGGCGAGGTGGATGGGGGGGGGGAGGCAGGAGGTGAGATCCAGAAAAGTCACTGTAGGTATTTTCCACGCGGGGGGATTAAGGGCAGGAGGGGGAGGGGAGGAGGAGGGCACCATATGTTTAATTGTGTATTATGTTCGATCCTGGCTGGGTCTACCAAGGCATGACGCGGTGCTTGTCGATTACACTCCTATGGAGTGTCCCTGGGTGCATCGACTCCGCTACCCTAACTGCAGCCCCTATTTCGCTTTCGTCAGCATAGCACCACGGATTACGGGGGCCCCCCCCCCTCCCGCACTTGATGCTCCACACAATGTTGCAACAAATGGTGCTTAGGGTAAAGCTTGTACAGGAAAAAACCCCGCCTCTGCCAACCGCGGCTCTCTAAATCTTCCTGGTTTAGTTCGCCATAGGCGATCAACGCTTGCCGACTGACCCTACGCAGGAGAGCAGGACTATCGGGCCCCCACGCTTCAAGAATATCGTAAATCTGTGCAAAACACCTAACTGCAGCCAGCCTAAGTTGGGCATGTGCCGAATCAGTTGACACGAAAGTTTGAAGCATGAACCTAAGGCATGGGATGAGATGCCTACCCTCCGCCGCCTTCGTTTTGAGTTTTGGGGCTCCCTTGCCTTTGACCATGCCCCAGGTAAGCTTGTTTATCGGCGGCCGTTCTTGCCCAATCCGCCTGGACGATTGCTTGATCAATGTGACGATGTACGCTAGCTGTTCGCTTGGGTTGGTCACGCGGCCACCTAGCTCAATGAATACTTCGTAAATCACGCATCCCATCAAGTACTGGAGCACCCCCAAGTCAAGAGTGTGCATGAGATCAATTGAAATGTACGAGTAATCAAACGATGGGAGCTTGAAAATGCTTGACACAAACAACCCATCACTGAAACACGACCGCATGAAGAGCCGATGGTTGAAACACGTTTGTCTCCACACTGCTGTTTCGTAGAAGTCGGTGAATGGCACAGTGGACTTGTTGGCCATGCATTTGTAACAAGTTCGGCCTCCATCACCCCATCCATGCATGCCCAGCGCCCCTTTCATCCACGACCAATCTCCCCTCTTCTGCACGACGCCGCCACATACTAGTAAGCGGCGGCCAGACGCAGCTGTGCTAGCCCTATGCTTGTCCCCGCGTTTTGTGGACTCGCTGAAAGGAACGCCATCGTCTCGGAACGAAGGCCAACGACCCGTCGCCAAGCAATTGAAGCTCCAAGCCAGCACCAGAAATACTGACTCGAAGGTGCACCTCCCCTGGCACCCACATTGGCACACCGACTGCTTGGCGAAACTCGCCACCCAGTACCTTCGATGCGAAGACCCAGATACGACGTTCATCATGACGACGAAGAGGCTGTCTCTAGTGTGGTAAGCAGCAGCATCGCCCCAAAGCCCTATTGCCAAAGACGCGCTGGGGTCTAGAGCATATATCGCACACCACCTTCTGAACGTAGCCTCCAGGGCAACGTTGTCCCCGAATCCAAAATACACAGAAGGGTCTGGGCTCTCTCGAACGATGTAATCAGCGATCTCGTGTGGAAGGATAAAGTTACACACGTCTTCCATCTGAGTGTTTGCATCCGTATTCCAGAACTTCACGTTGGTCTGATAAACTGTCGGCTTCCGCGCGGCTGATCTGTTGAGTCTAGTCATGACATCTCTGTGGCAATTCCCCCGATGATCACCATGATGCCCAGCTCTCGCGATTTCGGCACATAACTGATCAGAACCAGACCGCGAAGCAGCCGCAGCTCCTTCCTGAAATTCGGGGCCGGACAGGCGACCCACCAAGAATAGGGATTCCAAATATCCACCAATCGACCTACGCCGCTTTCGCCCGCCGCCAGCAAAAGTTCTCAGCGACGTGGACTCGGGCGCATCAATTGGATCTGGGGGAGGTGGGGGTTCTCCTTCGGCCAACCGCTGTCTGACGCCTCCACGCAATGGCATCCTTGGGCCCAAACGGCTGCGGAAGCTGAAGCGACCCGACACTCTGACTTCCACGACCAGACGTATCGGAGGGGGCCAGCCGACCACCGCGGCTCGACGAGAAACCCGCAAAGATCAACGCGGGGATACAACAAACCAAAAACCCCAAGAGAACATGGGAATCCAAGGTCTCACAGCCGATGGGTAGCAGAACTCCGCCGACCCTTGTACGGTACCGTGAGAGTGAAGGGCTACCAACACTTAGGGGGCCACTCGCTCGTGAGTCGGGTCGCCGCCCGTCTCGGGCCCATGGCGTGTGAGTCGCGTGGTGTATGCATAAGTATACTTATACGTGCTCATATATATACATATATATATATATATACATATGCATATACATATACATGTGTGTAGTTTTTAGAATGCGATCTAATATTTGGAGGTTAAACTAATTCTTGGAGGTTAAACTACAATAATTGACGTCTATCTTGAAATTGACGGTTGCTACAATATCTTGGCGTTTTAGATGCACGGGGTCGGGGACTTGTTCACGGGCGACTCTGCTGGCGAGAGAGCACCGGGGCGGCCCCGTTTCGTTTTTTTTTTTTTTTTTTTTTTTTTTTTTTTTGTTATAGCGGGGCCGAAGCTGAAGCAGGTAGTTCTGTTTTCGGCGAGCTTGGGCCTGGCGCTGGAGGCGTCGGCGCCCGCGAGGGGGGGCAGTCAGGGAAACGCTTCATCGGGGCAGTCCTGGGACGCGCCCGAGTCTGGCTCTGGGGTGCGCCGCCCTCGATCGGGCACGCGTAGACGTGGCGCGCAATTCCTGCGTGTCGCCTAGACCTGACACGCAGATCCTGCGCGTCACACGGAACGCGATCGGGGCGGCGCCGTAGCGCGCCCGCGTCGACACGCGGGACGCGCCTTCGTCGAGCGGGCCCGACATGGGCCAGGGGGGCCCGTGCAAACGCGCCTGCTGGGGCCATGAGCGGAGATCCCTGAAGGGCGCGACACGCGTGAGAGGTGCGCCGAAACGGGCGGGGGAAGCCCACGCGAGCGCGCCTGTTGGGACCAAGGGCGGAGTTCCCTGGAGGGTACGAAACGGGCGAGGGTTGTGCCGAACCGAGCGGGGGGAGCCCATGCGAGCACGGTTGCTGCGGCCATGAGCGGAGCTCCGGGCTAGGGCAGGAACAGGAGGAAGAGGAGGGGGACAGGGGGGAGGAGGGAGGAGGAGGAGGAGGAGGAGGAGAAGGAGGAGCGATCCTCGACGAAACATCGAAGACAATCCCCCTGCACAGCCTGAAGTCCGTTCGAGCACAGCCAAACCGGCAAACTGTTAGTGCAAACGCCGGGTGCGGGAGGCCTGCGTCCTCCTGCCCTCGTTGTTTTCACCGTTATTCCTTCCTCCCCCCCCTCCTCCTTTGTTGCGCAGTCGCTAAGGTCGGTGATCAACGACATGCACTAACCTAGCCCCTCTCCTCCCCCTCCTCCTCCTTCTCCTCTTCCTCCTCCTCCTCCTCTTCCTCCTCCTCCTCCTCCTCCTCCTCCTCCTCCTCCTCCTCCTACTCCTCCTCCTCCTCCTCCTCTTCCTCCCTGATCTCCTCCTCCTCCTCCTCCTCCTCCTCTTCCCCCTCCTCCTCCTCCAGCGGCCGAGTTTTCAAGCCTCGCCCGAACGGTGGCTGTCGAGAAGACGCGACACCCAAATCCAGCGTGTCACGACCCGGGGCGCACAATCTCGAGGGGGGCCATCCCGTCGGTGCGAGACCTTGGATTCCTGTCGGAGGCCGACGGGTCAGTCGATCACTTGCGCTGGTCCGACCGGGGCCGAGGCCCCCGTGCAAGTCCCGAGCGGGCCCATTTCGTCTAGTGGGCAGGAGCCTGCGGCTTCCAACGGAGTCGGAGGGCCCAACTCCGCAGCCCGGGGGAAGGATGAACAGTGTTCAGCCGCAGCTGTTTATGCTCAGAGTTGCCTGGGTGCCAGTTCCAGCTCGTCCATGGCATCGTTCCTCCGTGCTTTCGTGTTGCGTCGCGGCCACCGAGGCGGTCTGGCTAGACATCGTCGGGCGATCTCCGACGCCGTCGGGTGGCCTCACGGCGAGAACATCGCAGAGTTGGCGAAGCTCGTCACCGAGGCCGCGTTGCGGGAGAGGCCAGAGCTGCTCCCGGACGGGCACCGGCTGTTGGGCGACTAATTCCTTTTCACGAATGCGCAGAGCCGGCAGAGGACGCGCATCATGGCCGGGATGGTGGAACGCATTGCGGCGATGCACACTGGTTCCAGCAAGGCTGCGCGCGCGCACAGTCCAGTTGCAGGTCTTCGGCATAGTCGTGTTCAGGTACCACGACACGGCTGCTTGGTGGGACGCCATGGGGGCGAGCTTCTTGACTTGGTGTGCGGCCGCGCCCCTCCAGGAGAACCTGGGCGTGCAAATCCTCGCGGACGCGCTCCAGTAATCTGCCTTTCGGGCGCCTCCAGCAATCTGCCTTTCCAGCGGGGGGGGCCTGATATTTCCCTTCCAGCAAGGGCGGGGGGGGGGCGCTTGAAATTGCTCGTCTCATCGACGGGAGGCGTATTCCCAGAAGCCCGGGGGGCCAGCGTATTTATTTTCCACGACTGACGGTGCGCGGTCTGCTCTGGGAGCAGGGTCTCGGCGGAATGCCGCGATATCATCCCTGCGGCGATGGTGGGGCGGCTCTGGGCGCATCGCGGGGGCTCTGTGCGACGACCCCGGCCCCGCTGGCTTTTTCTCTTGGTTCGTTAGGCGCCCGGGACTTGGGGCTACGAGGCGGCCCCGAAACAGACGTCGGCGCACCCCGGGGGGGTCAGAGAGGGTTGCTCCTGGGACGCCTTGCAGGGGCACGCCGATTCTGCTCGTCGCGCATGGGGGCGCGCGAATCTGGCGCGTCGCGAGTTCTCGCGCGCGACGCGCCGGACTCGCGCGCCGCCCCGTTTCCCGCGCTGGGGCGCGCAGAACCTGCATTTCACGCGGGCCCCGCCAAGGGGGTCGGGGGCCAGGGGCCGGGGCGTGGACGCGCAGAATCTGCGTGTCACGCGGGCCCCGCCAGGGGGGCACTTAAAATCTGCGCGTCGCGCGCTGGGGGTCCCCGGGGCCGGGGCGTGGACGCGCAGAATCTGCGTGTCGCGCGGGCCCCGCCGGGGGGCCGGACATGCAAAATCTACGCGTCGCACGTCGGGGGCCCCGGCGGCCTGGGCGTGGACGCGCAGAACCTGCGTGTCACGGGGGGCCCGCCAGGGGGAAGGACGCTCAAAATCTGCGCGTCGCACGCCGGGGGTTCCAGGGGCCGGGCCCGGGCGCAGAATCTGCGCGTCACGCGGGCCCCGGCAGGAGGGGGGCCAAGGGCCGGGGACCGCGGCGCTCCCAGACAGACGCCCGCGCGCCCCGCCAAGGGGCCAGGGCGCGCAGAATCTGCGCGTCACCTCCAGAGCGCCGCGCAAGAACACGCAGAAGCTTCCGGGGGCGCGCGAAAGCTCCAGGTTCGAGACCCCCGCTGCTCCCCCCCGATCGCGAGCAGCAGCTTTACTGGTTGAACATCACGTGGGAGGTCTGCCGCCTCCTCGCGGCAAGCGCCGCGGCATCGCTGGCTCGGCAGGCGGGTTTGGCGGACTTGTCGGTCTACGACGTGCAAGTGATGATGTGCATGCTGCACCGGCAGGCCGGCTTCGCGGCCCGCCACCGCGCGCGGCCGCAGTCAGCAGCGGTCCCGGAGTCGGCGGCAGCGCCGGCGGCGGCGAGTCCCGCCGTCGGGCGGCCTTCCCGGCCAGCCGCGAAGCGACTTCGCCGCGCCCTGCGGGCGGCGGCAGCGCCCGACCGTGGGGCAGCGCCGCCGCGGGCGAGGCCAGCCCTGGAGTCGCCAGCAGCGCCAGCGGCGTCAGCGCCGGCTCCGGCGCGCGCCGGGGCCGCGGCGGCGGCGGCCGCCTCGCGCGGCGAGGCCTCTCAGGCGGCTGCGGAGCGCCAGGGGCGCGCCGAGGTGCTTCCCGCGCCGGCTGCGGCAGCGGCGCCAGCGGCTGCGGCGTCGGCGGCGCAGCCAGCGGTGCCGCAGGCCTCTCAGGCGGCCGCGGCGTCGGCGGCGCTGCCAGCGGTGCCGCCCGCGGCGCCGCGGCGCCGCTCGGCCAGAGGGAAGGCGGAGCCTGCCCCGCAGGCCCAGCGCGGGCGCCCAGCCCAGCGCCCAGCCGAGGGCCGGGACAAGGGCGTCGTGCGCCGGCAGCGCGCTCGCGAGCAGCTTTCCCGACTGCGCCAGAGGAGGGAGCGCGTCTTGGACGCAATGCGCAAGGAGGAGCAGCGTTCGGCGACGAGTCCGAGGAGCCGGGCGCCCGGGCGGCTGGGAGTGCGCCGCTGCCGAAGGACCTGCAGAGCAAGGGGTGTCAACGACGGTCGGTGGTCGGACAAGGGCCCAGGGTCGGACCCCTCTTCGCGGTGGTCGGACGACGGCAATGAGTCAGACCCCGCCTCGTCC